ATGTCCCTATTCCTGTCCTTATCACACTTGTCACCTCTTATCAGCGGTGTCTGTGACTGCTGCGCAGATGATCATGGCTGAGGAAGGGGCCCAGGCTGTCTGTCTGTTTCTCACCCTGCCCTGCGTGCCTTGTCCTGTGGGTACTGAGTAAATGTGAGTTCCTAGGTTGATGGGGACACACACATCAGGGAGGGCAGGAGAGGGGTTACTGTAGCCTGGTGCTACAGGCTGAGCTCTGGGCCCTCCCAGGTCCTTAGTTGTTGGACCAGGGCCAAACAGACTCCTGGCCAGGAGCCCCACACCCGCAATCAGCCTGTGGAAAGTGCCCTTGGGGATGACACTTTTCCTCTAGGGAAGGGTGGGGTGCCGTTAGTCTGCCAAAGTTCTTCCCTTAATTGAAGGGCTGGCATCTCAGGAGAGCAGCTGGGGCTTCACCTTCATCTCTATTTCCTTCCAAAACTGAGCCTGCCTGCTGCACAGGGGCCCTCACTCCAGGCTGTGGGGTCTCCTCCCTGCCAGGACAGAACCTTTGTGAGGCTCAGAACTCCCTGCCAGCTCACATGTCCATGCTTACAGCCTCCAGATCCGAGGAGGTCATTACACCCATGGAACCAGACACCTCTCCAACCTGACGGCTGCCCTTGAGCCCAAATAGCCACCTCACTCCTCACTGGTGGCAGAAGGAAGCTGTCCTGGCTGCCTGGAGGCAGAAGCAGTGCTCTACCCTGCCTGCCCAGGGAGCCCCCACCAGGCTTCATTGCATGCATTGGAATTCCTGTTAATATTTTGTGATAAAAGTATTTTTGAAAATGATCTTGTACCACTCTCTTTTTGTAAATGGGGAACTAAGGTCCAGAGAGGGGGAACCCCAGTGCCTAGCACGTAGTAGGCACTTTGGGGCTTAGGTGCCAGTCCCTGGACATCCTGGAGTGGACCAGGCCTGGACAGCTCACTCAGGGAGCAACTTAGCCAGTTCCCCAGGGTCTGGATTTCCTCAGCTGTGAGGTACATGGGCTACATCAGTGGTTCTTAATTCAGCTTTGAATCAAAACCATGGATGAAGATGTCTTTGAAACAAAAAGGCAAGGCCCAAGGCCAGACATATTGAGTCAAAATCAGTGGGAGTGAGGCTCCAAGTGTGTTGCTTGGGAAAGTCCCACCAGCAGGATCTAGTGAGTGACAGTCACTGGGACACACATGCTGGATCTGACCAATTGTGAAGAGGCCCCTGTGTGAAGGATTAGAAGCAGCAAAGCAATCAGACAAATCCCTTAATCGCAGGAGCTGCCCGCACAAGGTAGAAAGAGCGATAAGAGCCACAGTGCAGGCTGGCAAGGCAGCACCAAATGGTGATGGGATGGGATTGGTCAACGTCTAGTCTTTTTCCAAGTGTGCATCAGAGCACACTTGAGCCCAGATGATTCATTCACTGATCCAGGTCTGACTCAGGAAAGGAGCAATCGGATCTCAGATGCATTGCCAGATTCTCCTCCTCTGACCATTCCCTAAAGACTACAAACCCCCAAAGTCTCTAGGATCTCCTCTCTGGACACACATCTCTCTTGCACATATTCCCAGGCAATCCCACTGGCCTGAAGGATGATGGCACTCAAATCTCAGGTCCTTATCCAGAATGTTCCTAAGATCTTTACACTCAGGTCCATCCTACTATCTGCTGGGACTGTCCACACAGACACTTTCAGACCCCTCAGACTCATTTCCCACTAGGACTCCCTATCTTCCCACACAAGCCTGTCCTATTTCTCCTTCATTCTGTGTCACCTCTACTCAGTTTCTGAAGCCAGAAACCAGGAATCCCCCTGGATGCCCCCTCTCCCTCACCCCCTGGCATTCACCCATCACTGGGCCCTGTGGTCTCTTCTTGGTGTCTCCCACATTTGACTCTACCTTCCTCCCTCAGTGTGTGCCCTGGCTCAGGCCTGTCCCATCTCTCCCCTGGATTATTGCAACAGTCTCTCCCAGGCCTCCCCTCTGCCCTCTTCAAATCTTCTACCGCATCAACCCAGGGAGAGCCTCCTTAGGCACAAACGTGAGCAGGTCACACCCAAATTGATACCTGTCACTGGCTCCATGCTTCCTACAAGGCATGACACCAAGGTGAAAATATGATTAGCCCCAGTACCCATACCCTGCTGGGGCTAATCATATTTTGCAAAGATGGCCACACCAATTCCTCCCATACACCATACACACAAACCTCTTACAATGTGACAGCAATACCCCATCTAGAGGTGGGTCTGAGTTCTCTTTCTCCAAATTTGGGCCAGTCTTAGTTGCTTGCTTCTAACGAGGAGAATGAAGCAGAAGTAAAGTGATGTGACTTCGGAGGCTAGCTCCTAAATGCAGATACAGAATCTGCCTGGCTATTTCCTTCTCGAGACCCTGAGAAGCCAGACCTTGCATTGCAAGGAAACCCAGTCTTCTCTCTCATGGGGAGGCCAAATGTTGGTGTTCAGCAGCCACCTAAGCTAACATTTCAGCCCTTAACCAGTGTCAGCTGCCAGTCGATATGTTGCTGAGCAAGTCTCCAGAGGATTCCAGTCCCAGGCTGTGGTGCCAAGCAGAGCAGAATTGAGCTTCCTCCGACAAACCCTAGATAGGTGGCACATCTATCAGCAACTCAATGTGCTCGTCATTTTAAGCCTGAGTTTTGGGCTGCTTGGGTTTGCAGCATTAGATAGCTGCAACAGACGTGGCCATTCAAATGCCATCAAGATCATACCCGAAGAGTCCCCCAGGGCACACATACCACGCCCTTGCCTTCTTTGTCTTGATAACTCCCTCTGTCCTTCAAAAGTACCCTTGCCCAGAACAAGGCTCAATTGTGTACCTAGTTCAAGGTCAATTCCAAAAATCCCAGCATCCTGTGCTGGCTTCTCACAGAGCTAGACATACTGCAGTGGGGCAAGAGTAGCATCCAGCCAAGGAGTAAAGGTTGGATGGAGGCCAGGCTGGGGCAAAGCACATCTGGGCAGGGACGGGACCAGGGGCTCCTGAATTGACAGGGCTATCACTGATGTGGAGTAGAAGAACAGAGGAGCTACGTTTGTAGCCCAAGGGCCGGGAAGGGGGCAAAGCTGTGGGTGGAGGCAGGGGCCCAGGACAGGGAGGACAGTTTTAGAGCACTTGAGTTTCTGAGCATTAAGCTCAGGAAAGACCAGTCTTTCTCTAGCCAAGTTAGTAATGAATGAATAGGAGCGACTAATCGCTGCCTCCCCAGCTGTCTCCTGAGAGGAAGATGGGGAAAGTGGAGAAAGAATCTGTTTCAGACCTTCTCCTGACAGATTTACCTTTAAGTAGGAAGTCCCTTGTTTTCTCCTTCCAGCTACGAGGTGGGAGACTCCAGCCCCTGCCTGCTGGCTCCTTCCCTGCCCCCACTTCTCACAAAGCCATCCTCACTGCCAGGTGTCGGCTCATGTGGCCCTCTCAGGTCTGGGCTCAAGTGATCCTCCTGCCTCAACCTCCCAAGTAGCTGGGACTATAAGCACATACCACCACACCTAGCTAATTTTTCTTTTTTAAAGAAATGGGGTCTTGCTATGTTGCTCAGGCTGATCTCAAGGTTCTGGGCTCAAGGGATCCTCCTACCTTGGCTTCTTAAAGTGCTAGGATTTAATGAGCCACTACTACACCTGGCTTCATTAAAGTACTCTAACTGATAAATTCATGTTCCAGAATAAAGATTCATCAGAGTGGTCATTCTTTTCTTTTAAGACAGTGTCTCACTTTGTCACCCTTGGTAGAGTGCTGTAGCATCACAGCTCACAGCAACCTACAGCTCTTGGGCTTAGGCGATTCTCTTGCCTCAGCCTCCCGAATAGCTGGGACTACAAGCACCACCATAATGCCCAGCTATTTCCTGTTGCCGTTTGGCCGGTGCCAGGTTCGAACCTGCCACCCTCGGTCTAGGAGGCCGACGCCCTACTCCCTGAGCCACAGGTGCTGCCCAGAGTAGCCATTCTTGAATGCTGCAGATGTGTTCCCATGATCTGTCTTCAATCATTTATAAATTTTCCCTTGCGCGTTGCTTTCCATTAGCCTGAGAGCCATACAATTCATAAGGCACAAAACAGCATTTGTCAGTTCAGCTGCCCCTAGGACATGACTCAAGTCTAAACAAGTTTTGGATATTTCTAAACCCAAACTGAAATATGTGCAGTTATGTAGGAAGTATGGTAGAAACAGTCTCCTTTCTTCATGGTGGTATTTACACAGGCATTTACATTTGTCAAAACTTAGCAAACCCCGGAAGTCTGCATTTTACTATGTGTAGACCATACCTCAATAAAGTTGGTTAAAGAAAAAATCCACTTGAAAGAAGATTTGCAACCATAAAGGTATTCAAAACAATGGTCTGAAGCTTTGAAGGGAATTCCACAAACCGTTCTTTGTTTTTGTTTGTTTTTTTAATAATGCGCATCGGCAATGTCATTGGAATAGTGTGTTTGTTCAAGGCGCCTGCTTTGAAAGGTTCAAAACCCATATAAATAGCTAGGTTTGTGTGTGCACACTAATGTAAACATTGAGGTGT